CAGCCAAGACAACTATGTTAGCAAAACCTCTAGTGCAGAGTCTGTGTAAGCTGTTCCAACAGAAGAATGCTCTTGCTGGCTGAACTCGTGTCATTTGGAGAGGTGATGCAGCCTCCTGCCAGAAATCCTCCTGCATCTCTATTAAGGGGATGCTGCTGACACAGAACCATGGTAGAGCCAGAGCAGCAAAGGATCTTCTGTGCTGCAGGTTTAGGCATGATCGTGCACATATAACATGGCTTCCACTACTCAAGTCCAAATTAACTGTGAGGACAAGATTAAATACAGGTTAGTGAGATTTGTGGGTTTTTAAAATATGGTTTTCTTAGGCCTCATTTACTGCAGTGGACATACCCAGGCTACCTTTAAACAACCCAGCTTGAGTATCAGATGCTCCTCAGCATTAGTTGTGCCAAATATGCCACATGCTACTTTAGGCCACTTCCTGGCAGTGTTAATTGACCCTTGTGGAGCTTCATGTTCCTAAGACTGGACCATTTCTGAACTTGTCTATCAGAGACAAACCAACAGCATGGGAACATTAACACTTCAGCTGACCAGCCTTCACTTTCTGTTCCTAGCTGAGATAGGTGCAAGTTGTTGACAGCTCAAAACTTTGTTTTCATGTCATTGAGATGCACTGAGATTTCCCCAGCTCAGCTCTCCAGTTTTGGGCTGGCAGACTCCTGCCCTCAGGAGGGAGTAACAATTGTCTGACCTCTACTAGATCCATCTGCTCCAAACCTCCTTTCCTGACTGTCATTGCAGTTCTCCAGCAGGCCAAAGGCAGGTACCCCATCAACCTTCACCTCTGACGTATCTTGAGACTCATTAAAAAAAAAGGGATTGGCTTTTGTTCACTTTAATTGAGCTTTTGATGGGAGGAGCTTATCTGAACCCTCTTTTCTAACATGCAGTTTTGGTCAGCAAGGCAAGTGCTTGCAGAATGCCAACAGTTTGTGCTTCAGAGGATCCCTGCTCCATCAACTTGATTTGGCTTGAGCTGTTGTGGCTAAGAGGTAGCAGAGCCTTTCAAAGATTCAGTACCATACCAGGTTGTCTTTTGTGATGGGCTTTCTGCCCAACTCTTGGGCCCTGTTCCTACTAGAGAAACTGAGGGGAGGTTTGTAAACCAGGAGAGCCAGCATCCGTACTGATGGGCCTGTCACACCTCTTAGCACAACTGCCTGTGTTTGGGAACTTGCTGTTCTCCACGTTATTACAGGTCCTTGAGGGCTTTTCTCCTGTAAGCTCTCTGTCATAGGACACTGGGGACAAGAGAAGTGGGAGAATTGTGTTATTAAGTTTAAAGTTTTAATAAAGCCGAAGCCTGAGGCTATTATACTGGAGAACCATGAGTTTTGTTTGTGCTGTTCACAAAATATTACCAGCAGAGTTTTCTGTACAGGGTTTTCTCATTGCTCTTTTTACTGAGCTTCCTGCAAAATCTGTTCAACTAACAGTATTATAAGATTTGAAAATTATCGCAGAGTGGGAAATGATGTTGTTCCTAGACTGTGGAAACTTCTTGTCTGTGGAATTTACAGATGTACAAAGAGTATAAGACATGAACTTTAGACAAATTCCTTAGGTCTTTGCTTGCAATTGTTGCTTCAGTAAAAAAGCTATCCTGAAAAGAAAAATAAAAAATGTAATGTTGTATATAGTTTATGGTCTTTTAAACACCTTCAGTTTTAGCATGTCCACTGAAGACTTTACTGACGGCATGGACTAAGACTAGTCCTGGAAAGTGTAAATCTTGCATCTCAGCATGTCCTTCCCTTGGGATTTGGTACAACTCTGCACCAAATTTGAGTGGCAGATGGGTGCTACATTTGTGTTGAATGTTAATATATTTTACTCTAACAGTTTTATTCTACTGAATTTTTAAAACCTGTGTGAGTTGAAAACTATTGTAGAAGAGATAAATATGTCTTAACTGTGAGCTATCAATCCATTAAATCTGAAGCATTTACTGAGCTTTGAAGCTTCTGTGGCCAAAAGCATGGAGGTTTCTTGTGTCATCTTGCAGGATTGATTATCATCCCTGATAAGAGAGTCTGCTGCTTGAGCATCACCTGCTTCTGTTCTCCTTGGTTATTATTATCACTTAATACCCTGTTGTAGCAGAGAACTTGAGCTGTTATAGTAGAAGCGAAGTGTCCTGGGTTCAACATTCTCTGTTGTGACATTCCTGTGTCACTTACAGACTTTGTGTCTAAGTGAAGATTGTACCCTTCACCCTTTCTGCACTTGATGTATTGTTTTTGTCTGTTTTCTTTCCAAATTGGCTCGTACAGGCATGGATGCCTACCAAAAGTTACTTCTCCTGGGCTGGATGTAGAGAAATCTGTGACTGAAGCTCAGTTAATCCCTTCGATCCCTCTTTGCTGCTGCATCCATGCGCCCTTGTCCTGACCTCAGCACTGTGGCTGAGCTATCAAAAAACCTTGCATTGTCAGCCCCAGCCTCTTTGCTGATCTTTGTGAAGAGAATGCCATGCTGCAGGCATCCACAAAGCTGAGCAGCAAGCACCAGCAGCGTGTGGAGGGGGATGGGGATTTCATATTGTTCCCCATATCATGTGAAGAAAGAGCAGGAAGAGGTGGTGATCGGTGGCTGCCAGTTCCTCCATGTGCAGAGGGAAACTGAAGGTAGCAAACCTGAGCTAGGTCCAGAAAGGGAAAAGGGAACCTGTGTTTCCTTGAAGAAAAAGGTGACATTCTGAGATTTACTGGGTGGCTAGTTTTCTAAACAAGAATTGTGGAACACAATAGCTTGAAAAAAAAGACAGGTTTTCCAAAGCAGAGCATATTTTTTTCTCCTTGCTGGTTGTTAGCAATGCTTCTGAAGACCAGCCCTTCATGGAGGGAGTCATGCAGCAGCACAACAAGCTGGTGATGATTTTAAACCTCCCCCACCATGTAATAACTCTGAGTAACTGGTAGGTATGTGCACTTCAAGGACAATTATATTTTTGCCCATTTAAAATCACAGCATTCTGTGCAAGGCAGTGCAGCCAAATGTGTGCTGGAATGCACAGCACTGGTGCAGGAGTATAAGTACATTCCTAAACATGATTAGAGAAGCAAGGTGATACTACCTTACCTGTTATGTCAAGGTAAAACAGTTGGATTGTTCTGATGGCAGGTAGGAGAAAGGACTATCCACAGCCCTCTGAAAAACAGCCTGATTTTCCCCTGCAGTCCAAGGGGACTCTGTGAGGAGTATTGTGTTCAGTTCTGGAGCCCCCAACACAGGAAGGACATGGAAGTGTTGGAGAGAGGCCAGAGGAGGCCCCGGAGATGCTGGGAGGGCTGGAGCAGCTCTGGAGCCAGGCTGGGAGAGTTGGGGTGTTGAGCCTGGAGAAGAGAAGGCTCCAGGGAGACCTGAGAGCAGCTTGCAGTGCCTGAAGGGGCTCCAGGAAAGCTGGGGACGGGCTTGGGACAAGGGCAGGGAGGGATGGGACAAGGGGGACAGTTTCAAACTGGAAGAGAGGAGATTTAGGTTAGACATTAGGAAGATATTCTTCACTGTGAGTGTGGTGAGACCCTGGCCCAGGTTGCCCAGGGAAGCTGTGGCTGCCCCATCCCTGGCAATGTTGAAGGACAGGTTGGATGGGGCTTGGAGCAGCCTGGGCTGGTGGGAGGTGTCCCTGCCTATGGCAGAAGGGGTTGGAACTAGATGGTCTTTAACGTCCCTTCCACCTCAAATAATTCTATGATTCTATGATAATATTTAAAAAATTAAAATTATGGGGAAGGCACAGAAATTCAGAATGTCATACTGTGGTTACAAGGAAGTAAGAGTTTTGGGTCAAAATGGCTTAGTTGTGTGATACTTTGAAGAAACAAGGAGGCAATTTTCATAAGGTATGGATAAATGCTACTTTTGTACCAAAAATCTGAACTGAGGACTTTATTTTGAAGTTTCTGATGCAAACTATAATTCACATCCCCACTGTAAAAGTCTCTTTCACAGCCTTGTTTTGGAGGTGTAGCCTATATGCTGACAAGCAGTTTCTAGAGCATGAACAACGAATGCTTGGTTTTAGAAATATTGTGTGTTTGCCATTTATACAAAAGATGCTGAAAAAAACACACTAACTTTAGTGAAGCACACAAGACAGTGAAGACACTAGCTGCAAAATGCTGGTTTTATAAGTATAATTCATTATGTTTTCTTTGATCGAGTGTTACAAATTAGGGTCACTCATGTCAGGAGATTAAAACCTTTTTGTCTCTCTTTGATATCAAACTATTATTTCCCAGGGCCTTTTATCTTGCAGAGCAGTGCTGAATTGCACAGCATCTTTGTCACTTCATGTATGTTATTTGCAGCAATCATTTAATTGGTTTTAGAACTCATACTATTTAGTCATACTGTCATTTGCAACAACAGAGGCACTTAAATATCTTAAAAATGTGGAGAGGCTCCAGCATTGGCTGGGTAAGCTTATGTATATGAGAGACCACAAAGAATTTTGGGACCATGGTGGGAGTGTAAGGTAGCTAAATTGGATAGAAAAAGAAAAAAAGAAAAAAAAAAATACCAGTCAAAGTAAGATTGTACATCAGAAAAACTACAGCAATCTACTGAAAATTAGTAGATGATAGTCCTGAGTAGCTTACCGTGAACCACGGGTTCCAGCTTCCCTGAAGCACAGAAATAGGAACTTGGAGAAGCTTGTAAAAGGTGTCCTCAGGGAATCTTCCATTTTTTCACTATGATACCTTTAATCCTAGAATTGTCAAGCCACATGGAAAATAATAGGATGGAATAGTTCAGTCAGTTAAAAGTTAGTATTATTTCTTTTATCAAAAATATTAGGTCTTTCTGTGTTTCTGGAGCTGTTAGGATTTGTATAAACTTTAAAACAAGTGAAGACAAGTATTGAACTTGTATTGCTCTTTCTTTTTTTAATTTAAGATCATTATCTGTGACTAAGCAGACTCTATTCAATAGAAAGAAATAAATTAAAGCCAATATTTTTTTAACAGATGATTCAACGAGAGGCACAAGTAAAGAATAAGGTAACTGCTGTGGCGTTGACAGACTCTGTTCACAACGTGTGGCATCAAGAAGTTGGGAAAACTATTCGAGAGTGGATGCGAGAGGTGAGGCTGGGGTTTTTTTGAAGAGTTGGGGTGTATGTGTCTGTATATGGCTCCATAAACATGTCTTTATCTGCTGACCTCTTCCATTCTGTTAGGGTATGAAAGACAGCGCATTTCAGGAGCGTGGAAATTGTGTTCCCATTCCAGCCCCTAAAATAACTGAGATTAAAGACATCTCTGAACTTCAAAGATAGCAGGCAAAATAATAAGAATCAAGTCCAGTGTTTCCTCCTGCTGCACAGCAATACAGACACATGTACCAAGGCAGCCCACACGCTGCCTGGTATCTGGAGCAAAGTCCTGGGCGCACGCAGCTCCTGGCTTGATCTGGCAATGGTGGAAAAGCTCCTTGAAGCTCTTTGTGACTCAGTTTGACTATTTGTACAGCTGGCCAAAAAATCCTTTCTCTCAGCAGTTTTACGAGGTGTAATTACTTCTGAAGTGCTTTAAAGTTTTCTGATGAAAAGCAGGAGTGTTTGCTGCTGTACAGCTACCAACAGCGAGTTGGTCCAGGAGGGTCTGGCACTGGTTCGTGACCACTGTCCCCAGGTTCCACCCTGGGTGAAGGATGATGCCCTGCATTCATTATTCTTTTCATACTTAAGTAAAGGGCTGCTGAGATTTTAAAAATTACGTTCTTTAAAGTGAGACCAGCTACATTTCCATTTTTGAGTCTCTTCCTTGCCAGGTCAGGCTCATTTCCACGCTTTCTACATCCCTGTTGCAGAACTCTTGAAACAATAGGTGCAGGTGGCAAATCTGAACTAGTGACATCCTGAAGTTTTTGGTAGGTTTGGCTTTTTTTGTGGATTTAGTGAAACTTTCTGCATAGCGTGCCTATTCCTGACTTAACCTTACAGCTTTATAAGCTGTGACTGATGGGAATAGAGAATCACCTGGCATGCAGTCTGACAGCTCTGACTTAAATGTTAAAAATATAAAGAATGGTAACCCCTACAGGCTCTGTCAGAAAAATCCCCATTTTCTTTATGGGAAATCAAAACCTTAAAATATATGTTATGTAGTAAAACTGAAATTTTAAATCCTGTAATTTGAATCTGACAACTCCATTTTTCTTTAAGCATTTAGTCTGAATAAGACAAGTGCATTACCTTTAATTTCATTTGCAGAAAGTAGATCTTAAAGAATAAGTTAAATGATTAATGGCCTAAAAAGTGGATGGAGTGTCATAACTTACATTAGCATGGAAAATCTCCTATAAGAAAGAAGAATTTTACATATGTGAAGTGTGGCTGAGTGGTATTAAGACTAGCATATCACCTGGATATCTCTTACTTTAATCAGGTTTAAGGCTACTGGTAAAATGAATAATAATTAAAATATACACCTAATAGCTGCCTGTCTGTAGGGCTAATTGCTGTCATTGAAAGAATGAATTGTTAAAAAAGTAATTCTTCATTGGAGCAATCTCTCCTGTATCATTGGTGGCCTATTTTTAGTACCTATAGAAGTCATGATTTTTGAATTTATTAGGAGCTGTGATGAATGATAAAACAAATCATCCATTTACATATCTTGACACTGCTTTCGAGAATACTTATTTCTTACAGGCAAGTGTCACATTGTATATAAAAGCTGGTTAATTGTGTGCTAATCTTCTGTATTATCTCCAGCTCTCTGATGTAGTGTTCTATCAGTAGTTAATATTAATTTTACTTATTTCAAATGAATGTAATACTTCATAAAAATTCTACTTCTTTTTATAATTTCTACCATCTTACATTTGCAATTGCACATTCAGCTGTTAATTAAAATTATACATGCAAATTGTAAAATGTGTAGTGCTTTACTTCTTTAAACCTTAAAGCCTTTGTGCAATACTTCCATTTTAACCATTTTTTACTTAAAAAGTTACATTGCTGGGTAGTGTGTTTGTTTTCTTCTTTTTTTTTTTTTTTTTTTTCCATCGAGTTCAATAGTTTCATTGATCTACTGTTTCTTACAAAAATCTGCCATGCTTTGTGAACTTCACTTTCTAATCTCATACAGCAACCCTTCCTTTATGTTGTTCCTGCTCTCCCTGGTCCCAGAACAGTAGGGTTGCCTTGACAAATCTATTCAAAAGCCATTCCTCGCCCTTTATTGGTGGGGACTGAAGCCTTTGAAATTCTCTCCTCACTGCAGCACAGCTGACATCTTCTTCCAGACAGAATGAATTAAGGAAATACAATAAGACACTTGATCTACCAGTCAAGGATCTTTCCACAGTGAGGACGGACTCCATGGTGCACAACTAGGGCAGCAAGCATCTACAAATACACAATGCATGCTTGTTTACCAGAATAGCAATCGTCCATTTTTTTACAATCATGATTGATGGGATGATTTTTTAGAAATCTGTCTGAAAATTCATTGAGTCTTTCCAAAAAGTTGTGTGGGCTTTTTTGTTTGCTTGTTTGTTTGTTTGTTTGTTTTGGCCTTTTTGTTTGTTTCTTTCATTTTCTTTTTGTTTGTTTACCCTTAATTAAATTAATCATTTTTTCAGAAAAGGAAAACACTGATTTGTGGTGAAGGAAGCCATGAAGATCTCATATTTCAGCTGGCAATCTTATTAAAAATGTAGTTACTTTATAATTAAATCTTCAACTCAGTAAATTTTCTGTAGTTTCAGTGTATTTCATTGAAAGCCCATTATTTAATACTTTAATTCATGGGCATCTCTAAATAGAGAGCATTTGGAGCAAAACATTTTAAAAATTCATGGTAAATTCATCCTACTCAGAGGTTCAGGAATGAAAGGTAGATGTAAATGCTTCCTGAAGATAATTCCCCAATGAGCAGCATTTGCATTTTTAAATGTTCATGTCCAATTCATCTCAGCTATATTTCCCATCGCTTAACCTTCTATCTCCCTGGCCTTCATTCAGCTATAATCTGTTGTCTTTTGATTTCATCACCCTTCTTTCCACAATGTCCTCCATCAAAACACCCTGGAAAATTCTGATTTCTTAATGCTGGCAAGCAAGCAGGCACAGTGTTTATATCAACACCTGTTTAACAGCTGCAGAAAGGAAGAGCTTAAAATGTGCAAAAGGTAACTCACACACTGGTTGGTCCAAGCACATGCCCAAGTACACTGGCACTTAAGGCCGTGCCACTTAAGCACATTACAAATCTCCTGGATGATGGTCTCACCATTTACTTACTTAGCATGAAATTATGATATTTTATTGCCGATTTGTGTGAAAAAGCTGGTATAGTTTACCTTCCCATCCCTGTCGGGCCTGCTGTGTAAATCAGCTGGAGTATTTTGATGGGATCACTGTCCTTCCTTACAAACTCGGTGTTTATTTTTAATCTGAGTTTTTGGCTGACCCATAAATTGCCTGCCTGCTTTTACAGAACTGCTGCAACTGGGTGTCCAGCTCTGAGCCCCTGGACACTTCTGTGGAGTCCATGCTGCCAGACTGCCCCCGTGTCTCTGCAGGTACGTGGGTTTGCTTCCAGCCAGACCAGGATACATGTCTTTGCCCAGATCAGCTTGGTTATTTTTAAATTAATTTGGTTCTGAATGCGTTTGAACCCCAAGACATGGTTGAAAGCATAAGTTTGGTGCAGTATTATGCAGCTCACTGCTAATTGTTTCTTTTTGCTGTGTGTGGGATTCAAGTGGTCTTGTCTACTTACATTTTTCTAGTCTTCTTTTTGGCTTTATGTAATTGGTGACGTAGGTAGGAGCTGAAAAAAAATAATAGCAATGATAAAAACCCAGAAAATGTATCACAGATACTTAAATAAGTATCTGACTTTATTTAAACAAGAAGGTCTCAAATGAATACATTAATGGAAGGTACAGCTAAGTGACATGAGACACTTCCCTGAATCCTGGTCAAGAAAAGTCAGTTTACATAGCAAATTATTTAGAGTGTCCAAGAATCTTGATGTGAGTTTTCTGTTATTTCAGAAATACTCAGCTACACTCTTTCATTAATGAATCATGAATCAGGAACCATGAGGAGCACATGAAATAATACACAGAGACTTTTGTTAATGTGCAGTAATTCTAGAAAGTAGGTATAGTTGTCAATGTAACAGGAAAATCTCAAGTCTCTGTAGGAAAGTAATCTAAAATGCATAAAGCTGTTACAGAACTTTCATATTTGATTATCAGATTTCCTAAAAGCCATAGTTAGCGTATTTCTGTAGAATATGAAATCAGGTTCAAAGGAAGACACAGCCTATACGATATTAATTTAAAAGCTGGAACAGTGTTTGACCTTGCTCTGTGAGATGCAGTTGTTCGTTTGACAAGTTAGAGATTGGTATCTGTCTGGATTAGTGAGGTTGTTAATGAGACCTAACCTTGCAGATGAAATTTGGTTTACTGAGGGATATTTTTAAGTCTTGGAAAATTTGGTGGTACTTTGTTTGAGGGCTCACAACAACCAGAGAGAGACCTGTAATCACATTTCTGCTGTGGGTTGGGATCTAACCATGCTGATCCTCTTCTCTGTGAAGACACCATGCAATGATCTTTGGAGGTCCCTTCCAAGCCCTAACATTCTATGATTCTATGTGATTTAATAGGGGTGTCAATAAGTCTTAATTTCACCTTTCTGTTGAGGATGGGTCATGTGGGCATAATGTTTATACTCCACTTAATGAACTCCCAGCTACACTGAGGTCTTTGGCAGAAGAATTAATTTGAAGGGAGTAGGATTTTTGCCAGTAAATGTTGTAAAAGTAAGAGTTGGCTCTTTGTATTTCATGTATACATACAAAGCCACTAGATTACCAGTGTCTTAGAAGTTCTTGTCAGAGATTTTGGATTAACAGAAGCTAACTATTTCCAGCTTGGGTCTTTATAATATAAGGGCAGTTTAAAATAGCTCTATGTTACTACTGCTGAATTATCAATTGGCTCATACGTTTTTGTTTATATTTTTTGTATGCATGTTTTGCATGGACAACTGTTAGGCATTTACAGAGGAACATGTGAATAATTCTTACAGTGTGTTTATGTGAGCGACGACATAAGCCTGCATTAGGGTAATCTGTAATACATTTATGAAATGCTACTAGATGTGGGAGCATTAGTATTTAATGTGATATATTTTATTTCACTCATTTCCCAAGAATTGCAGTACTTGAAATAGCCCACACTCAAATACTGGCAGCATTGCCCTTGGTATTTCAGTGAATGACAGTGAGAGCAGAGCAACGAGAGGAGATTTTTTTTTAAATAAACCTATTGCAGAAGAAAGATTAGCTTATTTTTTTCTGCTTGGAACCCCACTGTTTGCACTGAGAAGTGAATTCAGGAATAGCTGTCCCTCGGTCACATCTCATGAGCCACCTTTTCCAAAAAGGGTCTGGTATGAGGCCATTGAGCAAACTGGGATTCACAGGCAACCCCAGTGTGTTTGTGAGCAATGCCTACTGCAGAATATGTCACAGGCTCTGGCTTGCATTTCCCTTAAAAATCACTGGAGAAAGTGAGATGGCCATCAAGATGGAAAAACGACTTGTATTTCCAGATAGAGTTGTTCAAGCTTTTGATTACAGCATTATTACGTGATTAAAATGTTTACCACAATTCATTCATGTCTTACTCAGCTACAGCAAGGATTGAATTCACTTTAATAATTAACCATTGTTAGTGTGAGAACAACAACAATACAGAAAAAGCAAGCCTTAATAAATCAGTTTTCTTCCGCTGTGGCAAGAGGTGGGGCACTGCAAAGGTCCCACCTTCATGGTCATTCCTCCACATCTCTAGGGTCTGGTTGCATTCCAGCATCACAGCTTAATGTCTTCCTGCTACTGGTCGTCATCACATCAAAGGGATTGTCCTCTTAAGATTGCCCATTTAGTACAGCAGTCCTGTGTGGTACATGTAGTCCTAAAAAGCCTCCCATGCTGCATTGAGAGACTTGTCTGCCAGCTCAAACATCTTCCATCAGACCTGGAGTTCCTGTTGAAGTTGATTGTCTAACACTACCCATCTTGTTAGCCTTCCCATATCCTTGAAGGCATTCTTCCACAGGACAGGAGAGTCCACCACTCTCCCTCTGTCATGTGTCTTTCACCAGGCAGGATTGTTCAGCATCATTCCCCTCTGCTCCTTCTCTGTCTTACAGCCAATATTGGAGCTTTCCACAGGTAAGGTCCTCAGCCGTGGGACTGTCACCTTGTTGGCCTGGAGGAGCCTCTGTCAGTCTCCAGCCCTCAGTCTATGTTAAAAGAACTATATCCTACCCTCTTCACTTTCAGCCTTCATTAAGGACCTCTGTTAGACCTGAGGTCATCCTCTGCCTCAGTCTTAATCCACCTTCCTAATGGAGTCAAACTAGAAGACCTCTCTTCTGTCTTGGGGAGATGGATTCACTTCCTGTCTATCTCAGACATAAGCAAGTATAGGATGGAGGAAGGTGAAGACTGGAAAAGCAGTCCACACATTAAAGATCATCACATAAAATGGGAGTAGGGGTGGGAGATTGACTGGTTAGGAGACTGGAGGTCAACTTGTGTTTTGGCACAGAGATTTTAGTGACAGGTTGTATCATGCTGCTGGTTTACCATAGGTGTGGATCAGTCCATGCCTTACAACATTTCTCCTAGTTCTGGAGGAGGGAGTTCACAAGCCCTTTGGGAAGCCATGCTACTGGGTGGGAAAAGCTGGAAGTGAGGATGGGAGAAAGCAAATCCATGGGTCTGTGTCCATTGCTGTTCAGGAATTAAATTACATTGTTTTCAGGTTCATGGCCTGAACATTACCCCAGAACTGGCACTGTGGTAAATTTTGCCAGGTAAACATGTCCTTTATTTTCCTGAATGCAGGTATTTTTTCAGTGCCTCTTGGGGACCACCATAGTGTGTGGATAAGACACATTCCTTAGCTCATGTATTTCTGCCAGTGAAAGCTTTCTCTTTAGGAGAGAAGATTAAACTTTGCAGTATTTTGCCAAAGTGGATATGCACCAACACTCATTTACATAATCAAATAAAAATAAGTTATCCTAACATTAGTAAAATGAATTGTCTTAATCAAATCCTTTTAAAGCCTTTCTAGTTGACCCCCAAAATCACTAGTTATTCTTTCAACAGTTGCAACCACTATAGTTAAAACATTGTAAAATAAGAAAATTGTAACAGCAGAAGACAAACAAGATGACACAGTGGAATGAAACGTTGACAGTAATCAAGAAAAGTTCTATTCAAGGAAGAGCCTAAACTTGAATATATGTCTCAGTAATAAGAAAAAAAGTTCAAGAATTAATTCATGTAACTGAACAAAATTATCCCAGGCTGGCAGAAGAATATCAAACTCCTAATTCTGGGGGACAGGTACAACCCATGCTAGTAGTGCCCTGAACAGTATCCTGAGAGAGTCCTCAGAGTATTTCCTGGTATCAAACATCCAGCCTGACTCTCTAGGGTATATAAAACATTTAATTTTGTTTAGGCAAGCCAAGCACAACTTCTTTTTTTCTTTACTTTAAATTCAGAAAGGTCATTAATATTATTTCTAACGAGGTGCTGCAGGTGTTTGGCTTTTTTGCAGATAAATAAATAGAAAGGAAAAAAGCAGCTTCAGAGAATGGCTGAGGTGTGAAGGGACCTCAGCAGGTCACCTGGTGCAACTCCTGCTCAAGTGAGGCCACCTGGAGTTGTCCAGGGCTGTGTCCAGCCTTCCATAAGCTCCATTGAATGTCAGTAAAGAAATAATGGTTGTGGTAATTAACATTCACATTAGGTTGTGGGGTTTTTATTGGTATACTGGGCCTGACTACCAGAATCATGGCTTAACCACGTGGTGAGCTGGAAGGTTGTGTAGGGTTCAAGTCCATACATGAGTGAGTATGGAGTGGAGATAGTGGTGGTTGTCCAAGCCCCAGGCAAGACCATCAGCATTATGTGTGGCAGCACCAAAAGGAGGTCCTTATCATTGCACAAAGGTTCAGAAAGAGGTTATTTCCCTGCTTTGCCTTTTCAGTCCTTTTAACTGCAAGAGGGGAAAGGGGGCTGGTGTTTGTTTCTGACAGAGCTTGTCCCAGCAAGGAGCAGGGTTGTCATCCATGGAGCCTCTCAGTAAGAACCCAGCCAAAAGCACTCATGTGCGTGTTAAACACACACTGTGTACCTTAAGGCTTGGGGGTTTTAGAGATCTTTCTGTATCCACATAAGAGACTTGCAGTTCAAAACAAATGAAAGCTGAGATTCTGCAGAGCTCACTGAAAAACGGGGAAAAGCTTGTTACCTGCTGCTTTTGAGTCTTTGGCATAGCTTGATTTAATATCAAGACAGGAATGTGGTACTAAACAGTCCCCTCGAGACTGTCGCTTTGTGCTAAGTAATAGAATAGCATCAATAATCCTTCCATGGGGCTACAGCAAATTTAAGTAAAGTTATTCTGGACTGTTAGATCTGCTTAAAAGCGCTGATCCAAGGTGAGCGCATCACTCGCACAGTGCACTGTTCCCTTGG